GGGGATCAGGTAGTCTTACCACAGCACTTGCCTTACGTGACCAGGATCAGTAACTCATCCCCTTGTGCCTGATCTTACTTATCAAACCTTATTCCTACAGTCTGTGACCTACAACTTATTGATGGCATTGATCAGTTCACACCACAAAAGTAAGAGATGTGCGAAACCAGCATAATTAGGAAGTGCAAAACCCTTAGAGGAGTCAAAGTACCTACCCCAGGAGGAGTGGCAAGGATTACAGTGGTGCCTGGCAGGAGAGCAGGAAAGCACATAACATGGTGCTATCAGGCACCTAACGTGTGGGTGGCAGGCTGTGGCCCACAGGCCATCTCTGGCAGCATCTGTGTGAAGTTTCATTGGATAAGCCACGCCCGCTCTTTTCATGCAGTCTACGGCAGCTCTAACTCTGTGAGGAGTCAAAAGATGCAAAAGACTGCATGGTCCAGGAAGGCCAGAATACAGGCCATCAGTCTTTCCAGAGAGCTCTGCCAGTCCCTGAGGTAGAGCTGTCTCCATCCCACTGCAGAGGGACCAGGGCACGGTGGCCCACAAATCGTGTGTTTGAAGAAGCCATCCACAGAGGAGAACAGTGGGCAGCAAGCACATGGCCAAGAGTCATCAGCAGTCAGAAGTGCAGATGAACAAGGGTGTGTGTCTGAGCAGTGTTGAGGCAGGCAGCACTCAGGCACCCAGTCTGCATAGCCTGGCTTAACACAGCTCCCGTTACGAAAAGCACCACTGTCGCTGGCGTAGAGATGCCGAAAGTGCAGGTGGAAGAGGCCATTGGCAGGGAGAGGTTGGTAGGGAGTCTGAAAGGATGTGGACAAACCCGGGAAGATGGACCTGGTAGCCCTCATGGATGGTTGTGAGCGTGCCCTCTATGCTGAACCCATGGGTGTGCCTTCTTTGTGGGGTGGCCCTGTCAGTGCCCACAAATGGTCACATGGGAGCATCTTTTTGCTGGGTGTTTTTTTTTTTACTTTGAGCCTCTTGTCCACGTTTTGTTGGTTGTTTGTCTTTTATTGCACCTTAGGAGTTGTGTATTAGTTCTAGATATGAGTTCTTTGCCAATGCAAATGTGCAAACATTTTCAAAACCGGATTTTAGCTGGGTATGGTGGCATATGCCTATAATCCCAGTGGCTTGGGATGATGGCAAATTCAAGGCAGCCTCAGCCACCTGGTGAGACCCTGAACCAAAATAAAAAAAAAAAAGACCTGGGAGTGTAGCTCAGTGGTAAAGCACCCCTGGGTCGATCTCCAATACTACCAAACAAACAAACAAACACTACCAAGTTTTAACTAATTGAACCCAATTATACAGTAAAAGGACCAAGTGGAGTTTATTTCAGGAAAGTAGTTGCTTTAACAAAACTAATATAATCTCCAATATTAAAAAACTAAAAATAAAACTCAATATCATTATCTGTCGCTTTCCCGGCGACTTAAACACTCAGACTTTTTGCCCACCCAGGGACGCCATTTGCCGGGTTGCTCAAGACAAACACTCAGGGGTCACTCCAGGGGAACTGGGCTAACTGGGCCGTGTGAAATAACCACACAAGAGACAGAGGTACCTTTTTCTATGGGCTCGCTGTGACGGCTCCTCTGACATTAAGGGTCCGCAGAAAGAGAGAGAGAACACGTGCTGACCCCTTTTATTGATGAGAGGCCATTCAAATGAGGCAAGGGGTCATGTTTCAGGGGGCTGAGTCCAGCTTCAGATGTCTACTGTCAGCAGGTTGACTGACACCTGGGTAGGCCCCACCCAAGGGCACAGCAAGAGAAGGGGACACACAAAAGGTGTTTCCCTGGAACATTCTATCCCAAA